GGGCAGCTATCTCCTTGGCTGCCTGAGAAATGCTGGCACGCCCTCTGGCCCCTGAGGAATTCGCGAGATCCTCGCGCTGAGCGTTGGACGGCGTCGCGCGCAGTATTCGATAGCTACAGCGCATGGAAACGATCGAATATGGCGAAAACCTTTTAAATTAACATGTTATGCTAAAACAAAATAAGAACGAACACCACGTTCTTAAATTAAGATCCTGGCGGCCCCTGGGTCCACTGGATGGCTCCTGGGCCCCAGGGGAGGATTAGGTGAGCAAGAAGTGACATGAACAGAATAACTCGGAGGTCTGCGCGGATTTCTCGGATCGGCGCTGGACCCCCCTCCCTGGCGCGCGGAGCGCCGCCGGGGGCGGCGCCGGTGGCGCCGCCGGGGGGCCCCTGCGCCGATCCGAGAAATCCGCGCGGACCTGCGTGTTGTTCTGTTCATGCCACTTCTTGCTCCCCTTATGGAAGGAGCAAGAGATGGAACAGCAGGAATAACAAAGAAGGAACGAAAGAGGGAGCCATCGAGCAAGGAGCAAAAGAAGGGGCCCTCGAGGAAGGACTACAAAGAGGCAGAAGCGTCAACTCTTTGGGGAGGGGCTCGGGGGCAACGAGAAGGGGCGGATAGGCACAGGGAGGGGATGCATCGACCCCCAATCGCCCACTGATCGCCGAGAGGGGCCCGATAGCCCCGACCTTCCCGTGAAGGTTCGGATTCACGATCGGGGGCCTATCGCCGATCTATCGGCGATGTATCGCGGATTCCAGGTCGATGCATCCCCCCCATGCCAGTCCCCCCCCCCTCGTTGCCCCTCAGGGATGGACTCAGTGGGGCTCGAGCGTTTTCGTTTGGATCTCGCAACAAGGAGACAGCCGAAGACGGAACAAGAGTCGACGCACACAGAACGAGCACCAAAAACACGGTTTCGTTCGGGCCCCCGTTCCGGGGACCCGCAGACGGTGTGGCGACCACACCGCGTGGTGAGTCGGTAGTGATTCGGGGGTCAGTGCAAGCGGAAGCGTGAAGGAGAAGACACACACACACACACGCTGCGTAAACATAAACCTTTGCCGCTCCGCGCGGATCTCTTGGTTCGCACAAGCTGTCGAGGATGGAAACAGCACCATCTGCAGACACATAAAATCTTTGCGGAGGGATGGGCTCTCAGGGGAGCTCGAGCCTGTTCTACGGGACGTGGAAACGACCACAGCCACTGCTTTTCTTTTGTTGCCGCCTTCCAGCCAGCAGAAACACAGCAGTGGCTGTGGTCATTTTCGTTAAGCTTGGCACCAGGGAAATGACCACAACCACTACTTCTTTGTCGGCCGGCTGGAAGGCGGCGCAAACAAGAAGCAGTGGCTGTGGTCATTTTCCCGTCCCGCCTGTTCGTCGGCTCTCGCCGGCTCTCCAGCCTCGGGGCGCCTTCCCGCGGCTGCGCCTCGCCAGGAGCTTTCTCAGGGGCTGCCTGGCAGCGCCCCGAGCGGCCGCCGAGGACCCGAGCTAGGACCCGAGGGCCGGTGCGAGAGGCGGGAGACAGAGGCACAAATCGGGTATAGCCAGGACCCCGGTCCAGGGGAGCCGGTCAGTGATTGGGCCCCGAAGCCCTAAATATGGATTGGAATCACCTCGCCAGGTCTGCCGTAGCTGGTGTTTTTTTCGGGTGACGGCAATTCCGGTGAGTGGAATGGGACGGGGGGGGGGCGTCCCCGGTACAGATCACTAGACCAGGTCCCACTAAACCCAGTGCTGCCAACGCCCGATCAAAGGAGGGATCGGAGCGGATCGGCCTCCCACCACAGCAGGGCGCATGACCTCGACAGCCGCGGGGGGGGGGGGGGGCAGGGGTGAAGAAAGAGGGGACCGAGAACCCCTGACTGATGGCTTCCCCCCTGCCATTCAGGAGGGGAGAAGCACGCAGACACAATTCATCGTTGACTCTCGGGAAAGTCGGGGTAAATATATGGAAAGTGAGGGGGAAGACGGAAACCCAGAACAAGTGGCAAAGTATGGGACATCCTGAGATCTGTGTCTCTTCATTCGTGTGTGTCCCCGGCGTGTGTGTCCCCGGGCCCCTTTCGCCTTCCCTCGCCCGCGGGAGCGGGATCCGTGGGAAGCCGGGCAGACCACGTTGTGTGCTCCTTCCCGCATCCGGGCGCGGAGCGGCCGCGGCCGCGCGCTTCGCCTGGAGGATAAGGGGCCCCCTCAGCCGAGTGGCACGATGAAGACGTGCCCTCACTTCGGTCCCCGTTTTCGCCCGAGGACTGAGACATCTGGGCAGGTTTGCTCCGGTGCAGCTGCTGAAAGAGACCTCTGCTCCCTGGTGTTCCAAGCCCTCCTGACTTAGGTCCCCTCTGCTGAAAGGACCTCTGATCCCTGGTGTTCCAAGCCCTCCTGACTTGGGTCCCCTGCCACAAAGGGTCAGGGGTCCTTTTGTGCCGAGTCGTCGCTGCAGCATCAGGAGGCACAGGACTCAGGAGGGGAAAAAACACACAGACACAATTAATCCTCGATTCCCCAGAAAATATGGGGAAGTATGGGAAGTGGGGGGAAGACAGAAACCCAGGAAATATACGGAAATATGGGGAATCTGGTTATTTGTGTCTATTTGTTTGTGTGCCCCAGTTTCCCTTCATTTATGCCGAGGCATCGCTGCGGCATCAGGAGGCACAGGACATGCCGCGCGCCGCGCAGCTCGCGCGAGCGAGTGTAGGGGGGGAGTTTCTGCGCGGCTGGGCGTTGCCAAGTAGCGTGCGATGTGTGTCGCCGCTGGCCCCGCCGATTGCACGCTCTAGCCCCCACTCTGGGGATGGCGTGCCCGGAGGCACCCCGCCCGCGGCGGTCGATCACCGCCCAGGAGGAGGAGGAGGAGGGGGAGGAGGAGGAGGGGGAGGAGGGGGAGGAGGAGCAGGAGGAGGAGGAGGAGGAGGGGGAGGAGAAGGAGGGGGAGGAGGGGGAGGAGGAGCAGGAGGAGGAGGAGGAGGAGGAGGAGGGGGAGGAGGAGGAGGAGGAGGAGGAGGAGGAGGAGGAGGCAGGGGGGATTCGCGCGCACGGGAGGATGCTTCGCTCAAAAAATGCAGAGTTACGCTCGGAACTTCCATTTGGGGGGACAGCGTGCTGTCCAGAGATCGGTGTGTGGCCCGCTCGCTTCGCGACGCCAGTCGTAGACGGGTGAACTGTGTTCTCCAGAGCGGCGTGTTCGTGTACGGTCTTGTGGGTGGGACTGGTGTTCGGGTAACTGTGAAGTGCGATGTGGGTTTTCCTACAGCTCATTTTGCCGAAATGTTGCCGTGGTTTTGACAATTTGCTCTGCGCGCGTTGAGTGTCGCAGGCGCCAGTTTCCACATCGCACCGTCAGCCAACCACACCGTCAGCGCAGACTCGAGGTTGATGGACGCTTCCCTAAGGTTCCTGGAGGTCCCGCATCGGGGCGCGCTTCGGCAGCTGAGCCTCGCCGTGAGGTCGCCAGGAGAGCCCAGATCGTTCCGAACGGCCGCCGGAGATCCGAGGTACGGTCGGGCCGAGGTATAAGATCGAGGTCGGTTCGGGGAGGGCACCTTCGAATGTGCTTCAGCATGGCCAGCGGAGGGTCTCATGCTTTTGAAGAATGGCCGTCTGTCCTGTCTTCTGTCGAGTGCGGGTTTTAGGATCCGGCGATATTTTGGGCTATCGGGGCCGAAGTGGTACGCAGCTTTGGCGTGCGCGGGCATACCTTGGGCTGCCCAAAGCGAAAAGGTCCGGTTATTGGCTGTCACATCCCTCCCCCCAGCCGGATAGCCTGGCATATCGCCGAACAGATCAGATGCTCGATCATGGATTCCTTGTTGAAAGAAGCCATCCGTTTTCCGCGCCGAAGACCGTTGGACACCGCCAAAGACCGCAGGAAATCACCTCATACCGACAGAAGACCGCCGAAAACACCGAAGATCGGCGAAGACGGACCAGGAGCGATGGTTAGCAAGGGGCCCATGATCGAGCACGTAACACAAATAAGAATCGGTCTCCTCGATTGTAGCTCTATAGGACGTTGCGGGCCTCGCACTGCGGTGCGCCGCATCCTCCCGAAGCGCGCGGGCTGGGCGCGCATGCCCTCCGCAGGGCTCATTACGATTCCTCCCACTCAATTCGGTTGGATGTCGATCCATTCTGATCACGATTCGATTCGGCTTCGGACTCCGATTTGGACTCCGGTTTTACGACGGATGCGATATTCGTTGGCCAATTTTCCCCGATTTGATTTCTCCCAGCTTGATGCGGGCATCCGACGATCCGTCGGGTCAGGATCGTTGAACCGATCTTTATCCCCCGTCCCCATCCCAGTCCAGACCCCCACCAACTCAGCACCCCAGTGGGGGTATACCCTTCGACACCCGAAGGAATCGGCCTACATCCCCAAACAGAGTTGCACACTAACGAGTCGAGCCCGGGCAACGCCGTTGGGGATAGGGTTCGGTGAAACGATGCTCAATCCGCCTATCCGACTCATTCCGACTCAGCGATTTGACTTTCCACGTAGAGTTGCACAGTAACGGGTGGGGCCCCGGCAGCGCCGTTGGGGACAGGGTTTGGTCAAACGATGCTCACTCCGCCGATCCGGCTCATTCCGACTCACCGATTCGACGTTCCGCTCTCCTGACTCGCGCGCGCCGAGGTCGCCTGCGATGGCACACAGGGCGCCGAGGCGCGCGGCGGGGGGCGAGCTGCCAAGCCAACAGTGGCCGAGGGCACGGCCTTTCTCCTCCTCCTCCCCCCCCTCCTCCTCCTCCTCCTCCCTCCTCCTCCTCCTCCTCCTCCGAAAGCAGACCCGATGTAGGCCTGGGCGGTTTTGGTGTTTTTTCTAGAAGAAGCAAGGCGCCGACAAAATCTGCTCGTGAACAGTCGCAGCCTGCGCCTTCTGCACATGGGCGGGCTGCGGAGAAGCAAGGCGCCGACAAAACTGCACGCGAGAGGTCGCAGCCTGCGCCTTCTGCACATGGGCGGGCTGCGCGCTCTGATTTGGCGACTTAATGCATGCAGCCTCTCTCCCTGCGAACAGACTGGCCAAACTCCTGGAGCAGGTCGTTGCCTGACCTCCGCATGCGCCACACCCAAGCCCACAAGTACGAGCGGCAACGCTCCCAGTCTGAAGTGTGGACGCTGTCTGGGATGCTGTCGCGCATCTCAGGCCAGAGGCCATCGCAACACTGCGTGCCTTTTTTCAAATGAAGAGTCTCGGTGCGCCCGTTCGGGCGCACGACGCGCACGCGGTCGACGACGGCCCACTGTTCTGCATCGTGAGAAACTATGCCGTGCGATAGCTTCAGATGCTTATAATGCAGCTTGAAGCGGTCAGCATTGAAACGAGGAGGGTCTTTGCTCTTGTCGCTGTAAGCAGCACGGCTTTTCGGTGCTACGGACTGGTACGCGCCCGCGCCATCCGTCAAAAGCGTGAAATTGCCAGGCACGAGAACCCAAGAGAGGATCTCGTCGCACTCGGGCCCACTGAGTGAAACGCCGCTTCCCCCAGCGGCGCAGGTCCGCTGGGGCAGCTCGAAAAACATCGCCAGTTGGCGCTGTCCCCGAGGACACACGCACATGAATCGGTGATGTAATATGCGGTAACGCCCAAAAGGGTGCTCGCCGCACGTCGTATCACAACAATCTCGCGGGCAAGTCACGCGGCAAGCGCGCATTGACGCCTCGTCGGCCTCAACGAGGCACCCGCGAGGCCACACAAAGTCGTCCTGCTCAGCCTTGGCAACGCGGGCGCAGATGGACCGCACGACACTAGTGATGCGCTGGGCTGCATTCTTCGATATCCCCACCTGCACAGCCATTTCGTCCGACGACTCGTAGCCCGAGGCATGCTGGGTTGCTGCATGGGCGATGGCGAGGAGGGTGCGGGTGGTGTTCACGGAGCCCTTGTTGAACAACTCCTTCAGAGGGCCCTTCGGGTCGAGGTTCGACTCGCGCCTCTTGATGGGCGAACAACGCACGCCCATGCCCGTACAACGCGCACCCATGGGCTCCCCCTCCCCACCCTCCGTCTATCCCGTGGGTATGGGCGTGCTTTGTTCGCTCATCGCCTCTGGCAATCCCAATTGGAACAGCGCCAAATCGGATAATCCATTTGAGGTATGCTGAAGCCCGCCACCTGGATGTCCTTGTCCGACTGGCCGCCCCGAAGCTTCAACTCCATTGTGCCGCACTGGCACGCCGTGCACTCGCCCCCCAGATCTGGTAGCACCCCGATCTCTATCATGATACGCGCGAGGAGCTCGGGACTGATGCGCGCCATGTCGACCACGGCGATCCTCTTGGATATAGGTAGCGCGGCGAGAGAAGGGCGATCAGCTTGTTTCTGATTCGGAGGAATGTAGGATGGACCAGGAGCCTCTTTTTTAGTTGCCGCCCTACCCTTCTTCATCATCGACTTCTTGCTGATGCGGCTCCCCTTCGTCAACGACACCCTGCGAATGCCAGACAACTTCTTAGAATGGAGAGTCGCGCAAGCGGGCTTCCGTTTCAACGAAGCCTGCTGCACGCGGTGCGCACGCTTGTGCTTGTCCGCCTGGGAGGCCTTGCCACCATGAGGCATGATTGACGAGGCGAACGGCAATGGGAGTGGCGAGGCTGCAATCCAAAGCCAAAGTTTGAACCAAAGTGCTACGGACCGAACACCATGATCGGCAAACACATGGACTACAATTGCGACCGCGCGCAGTCGCAACTTTGACCGCGGCAAAAGTAAACAAGCGTTGTTGGCCTTTTTTCAGTAGAGCATGGCCATCGCAACGCCCTGCCCCGTTCACAGGCGCTGCCCCCCGTCCCCGATATGCACAAATTAGGTCTCGTGTGTCCCCGACGGCGCCTGCACGGTTGCGCCTCGCTGGGGGCGAGGGTCGGGGAATCATCATGCGCACTGCTGCATCGTGCGCATCGCCATCACGGCGGAGGCGGCGAAGGCGCAGCGCTGGCGCCGCCTACTGCCTACTCAGGCACCCCGAACCTGCCACCAATTGCATTCCTCGGCACGCACGCCCTCAGGCATGATATGCCACGAGACGTGGCCCGTGTGGCAGGCGCGCACATCACCGTCGAACACGATGAATCCTCCGAGGAAGACGAGAACGGCCACGGCGTGCCCCGTCACCCCAGGCGCAGAGCCGTACGTTGCGATGTAGCGGCCTGTGGGCACGGCGCAAGCTCCGCGGATGGACGCACGGGCGATCACGCACCCGTCTCCAGCGATCATGGCCTCGGCATCGTTGATGCTGAACGGCCCATCCTGGGTGTACGGAACGTTGAATCCGAGGGCGTTCAGGGCGTCGACCATGCAACAGTTCTTGAAACCTGCACCGAAGAGGCCGTCGCCCGTGCCATGGGGCGCCTCTTCGTCGCTGTCATCGATGATCAGCGGCGGGCCGCCCGAGGGCGCCAGTTTGGCGAAGACGCCTGGCTCCAACTTGACGGGGCGAAGATTACCGCTGTCCGAGGCCGCCCCTGGTCGCGCGGGGGCGGGCATGCCCGCCTCCGCTTCCGCTTGCTCTGACATGATCCCCAACGCTGCCGCGGCCTCCTCGTCGGCATCGGCGGCATCGAACACGGCGCGCGCGCGCCGCGCCGATGGTGAGTCCTCGCTGGAAGCGCCGTCCAGGTCGATGTCTCGAGGACAAGACGCAAAAAGCTTATTGAAGCTCTTCGCGGCCTTCTTGGGTGGGCTCAAGAGGTCGATGCTCTCGCGGTCGTGCGCCCTCGCCAAACCGCCCAGGTACTTGGCCATCTCGCGGTCCCTGTCGACCTTGTCCTGTGAGTCCACTGGGCAGCCGCCGCGCGGAAGGGCCGCGCGCGGCGGCGCATCTGTGCTCTCGCCCATCAGAGGGGGAGGGGCCGCGCGCGTCGGCGCCTCCGCTCCCTCGCCCATCGGAGGGTAGAAGAAGCGGTCTGGCGCCTGGGCGTCGAACAGCGTAGGGCCTCGCACTGTGACGGCTGGCTGCACTGCCTCGCCTCTTGCAAGCCTCCGCATGAATGCCTGGCCCCACTTGAAGTCGATCTCGAAGTTAGGCGGCTTGTACGTCTGGTCCTTCTTGTACTTCTTCATGGTGTCTCTGCTTTCGGGCACGAACAGGTCGGGCTGGGCTGGGTTCGGCCAGGCAAAAAACGGCACCGACTCCTTGTCCGTGGAAGCCAGGCGGAAGTAAATGCGCTTGTCCGACAGGAGGACAACGTGGCTCCTCGCGAGGTACGCCTCCGCGTCTGCCATCTCGAACGACCCCCGCGCGTCGCGGGGAAAGTTCGCCTGGATAATGCGGACGAAATCGTCAAAGGAGATTGCCTCGGCTCCAGGCCGAACGGGCTGGACGCGGGCCTCAAAATCCTTGTCGTAGGCGTTCACGCAGGATTGCCGCGCCTGGTTCATCATGAACTGCGCGCCGCCCCATCGAGCCCAGAGCAAGGCGTCCTCTTCGGCCGGGTCGTGGAACGCCTTGACGTCGTCTGTGCCCCACTTCGACATCACCGTGTCGTCGGCAATCGCGGGCTTGAAGAGGCTCCCTGGCTCGAGGCGAAAGAAATCAATCCTCTTGGAGGTGACGACGCTCGGCTTCAGGTCAGAGCGGCCGTGCTTGTCGATCTGGTAAGCCGAGATGGCGAAGCAGGTCGTCTTAGAAGCGGACGACTTCCCGACGCGAGTCTTCCCGATCCACATGATCGAATGTACATCGTGAGTGCGCAGTGCGGGGGCAATGATGTTGTTCAGGATCGTCGGATGGAACTGCCTCAAAGTGTGGCACCACGACATCAACGTCCGCGCGCCCACGGTGCCGTTGGCGTAGTTCCGCAAGCTCTCCTGCGAGGCTGCCAAACGGACGCGCGCCCGAGCACCTCCCCTCAAGCTGGCGCGACGATCAGGTCTGCGCCCAGCGCGAAGGGGACGCGCTCTACGCCGCGCGTCCGTTTAGCCGCCTGGTCCTTGACATCCCCAGGCGTCCACCCGAAGATCGGACTGCTCTCGAGGTGGATCTGATCATCCGTCCACTCGACGAATTGGTTCTGGGCATTGCTCCGTGGTCCATGATCGCGAATGAAGGCGTAACCAGCCGTTCGAGCAATCCTGTCGTAAGTGCCCGCTTCAGCTGCCTTCTTCACGGACGGCTGCGCGAAGTATCGGTACTGCACGCCCCCAAGGCGGTCCATCATGAAGTGGAACAACTTGCGAACCTTCTTCGTGTCAGAAGTGCGGCCCCAGTGGATCGTCAGCGGCGTGCCCACGATGAACACATCTTTCACCAAGTCCACGCGAATACTGTCGTCGAACTTGATATACTTCAGCACAGACTGCACCCCATCAGGGTCGGTGGGCAGAACGTAGATCTGCATTGTGAACGCCAGCTCTCCCGTGTCCTTCTTCGGCTTGAACGGAGACGGCAAGGACGCGTAGTCGCCGCGGCGCATGATGTCGACCATGTCCACAGCACTTGTGTCGGGAAGCTCCTGGCACTCCGTTCCAATCTTGATCCAATCCACGACGTGCTTCACTTTTACCACGTTGTCGATGTCTCTCAGTGGCATGTCTCGGAGACGATAGCAACCAGGCGGGTCTGATTCGAAGCGCGTGGGCTTCTCGAGCCGACTGTACGGGTTCAGAGTGTCCATGCAGCCCCAGGCCTGCGCGACCTGCTCGGTGGCGGACTCGTCCCCCGCGATCATCTCTCCCAGAGACTTGACGCCCCCCGCCACGAGGTTCGCCATGATCGCAACGAGACGCGATGCAACGTTGACTGCGAGGCGCACCTGTGGTCTTGAGCCAACGCAAAGCTGCGGGCTACAGCAATGGGAAAAGATAACGGACTGGGGCATCCAAAATCTGGATCCCCCCAATCAGCGGGCTCTCTCTCTCTCTCTCTCTCTCTCTGTCGCTGTCGCCGTCCCTGTCTCTTTCTCTGTCTCTGTCTTTGTCTCTGTGTCTGCCCTCTCTCTCTCTCTCTCTCTCTCTCTCTCTCTCTCTCTCTCTCTCTCTCTCTCTCTCTCTCTCTCTCTCTCTCTCTCTCTCCTTCTGCGGGTGTGTGTTTTTTGGCTGTCGCTCCAAAGGCCAGGGCGGGGCTGCTAGTCGAGGCCGCGCGCGGCGCACGTCAGCCCAAGTCGTTGGCGTGGCCGCGGGGCGGGCCGTGGCGCGCCAAGCGCGCCACTTTCTTGGCCGCCCAAGGAGGCAAGTGGTACTTCATGTGCACCTGGAGAGTCCGCCACCAGCTCTCCCAAGGAGCTGTGGCCTCCTCGAGCGCCTTCTCGGCCTTCTCGGTCGCCTTCTTGGCCTTCTGAAGCTTTCCCTCCGTCTTCTCCAAGGAAGCCTGCGTCTCGCGCAGCTCCGCCCGCGCGTCCTTGAGGGCGGTCGTCTTCTGCTTGAGCTGCTCCTTGCAGTGGTTGGCAACCGCCTCTGCCGCTGCGGCTTTGTGTTGGGCGGTGTACATATTCCTGTAGTGCTGGTTGGAGCGGCGTGACCGCGCGTCCAGGACGCTCTCAAGGTCGCGCAACTTGTCCACCAAGGGTTTGCGAGCTGCGGCGCGCGCCCCCCTCACCAGCTTGGCCACAGCTGGTTTGTTGCCGAGGTCGTGATCTCTCTTCGCGGCCCTGCGTACCTTGTTGCTGTGCAGCTTCTTCTCGTAAGCGGGTGTCCCCTTCTTTGGGTTCCCCATGGTGTCGCGAAGCACGGAGCGCGGAACCAATCAAACCTTGAGCCAAAGCGGTTACGGATGGTCGAAGCTTGCTCGTGCCGCATCCGCTGGGGGGCTCTGTCATTCGGTCGGAGGGTTAGCAAACACTGTAAAAAAAACAGGTGTTCCAGGTCGGAGGGTCAGCAAACACTGTAAAACACAGGTTTCTCAGGTTTTTCAGGTTTTTGCGCATCCATCCACCTGGGAGCGCATAGATCCCCCAAAACCTGAAAAACCGGTGTTTTGCTGTGGTTTCTCAGCCTCTGTCCTGACAAAACCTGTAAAAACAAGTTTTTCAGGCCGGAGGGTTGGCAAACACTGTAAAAAAACAGGTTTTTCAGGTTTTTCATGTTTTTGCGCATCTTTCCACATGGGCGCGCATAGATCCCCCAAAACCTGAAAAACCGGAAAAACCTGTGTTTTGCAATGGTTTCTCAGCCTCTGACCTGAAAAACCTGTTTTTTACAAGAGATTCTCTACCTCTGGCTTGACAGGAGGCGCCACGAGCGCAATCGAAAGGACGAGCTGAATTGATCAGGCACTCTCCTCCTCCTCCTCCCCCTCATCATTCTTCCTCCTCCTTCTCCCCCTCCCCCTCCCTCCTCCTCCTCCCTCGTGGTTGGGATGTTCGCCCCGCGAGGGCTCTCGAGGGTTAAAACTGAGGGGCCCTCGTGTCGTCGTTTTCCCCCGCCGTCGCGGGGGTATTTTGCTGCCAGTCCTGGCTGGTAGAGGGCTGGGGGAGGTCCCCGCGAGTCCGCCTTTGTTTTGGAATGGTGGAGTCGCTCTATACTGTTCCTCTTCTTCAGGCAGGTCTCGTTCGAAGCCTGAGGTGGGGCCGCCCTGGCCCCCAGCTTAGCCGCCGCGTGTTCGGGCCTCGGACGCGCGCGCCACGCCTCGTACCCTCGTACCCTATCCTCCTCCTCTTCCTCCTCCTCTTCCTCCTCTTCTTTCTTCCTCGACGCCAAGTTGGAAAGCGCTGAAACCGCCCGGGCGCCAAAAACAACCAAAAACGCCCAGGCCTACATCGGGTCTGGCGCCCCTCCTCCTCCTCCCCCATGTTTCCTTGGCGAGTGAGAGGGGGGAAGTGAGAAGGGGAAGGCCCCCTCAGAAGGCGGCGGAACGTCTCAGAAACCTTTGCGCCTCCTGAGAAGTGTTCTGTGCCTCCGGGGGGGGGGGGGGGGGGGGGCTTAGAACATTTCTCAGAAGACCACGGGACTTCCGAGCCTTCTGACTAGGCCCGCCCTTTCTTAGTTCCCCCCCGGGCGCCCCGCCTAAACAGCCTTGGAGAGATTGCTGTTTCTGTTGGCTCCTCTTCCCATGGGCGAAGCACGTTTCTGCATCCGCAGCCTCACGGGCTGGGCCTCTGGACCGCGACCCCTCAGATTTGCGGGCTTGTTTAGTCGCGGATGCCCCGCGCGGGACGTATCCGCGCGACCGCGTATCCGCTTGACCGCGCCCTGGAGTGCAGACAGCGAGGGCGCGGATCCTCGTGATCCTCGATCCGTGGGGCCTGATGGGCCGATGTTCCTCCACCGCTACCATAGGTAGGAGAAGGAGGAGGGAGGAGGGGGTGGTGGAGGAGGAGGGGGAGGTGGAGGAGGAGGAGGAGGGGGAGGTGGAGGAGGAGGAGGGAGGTGGAGGAGGCCGTAGCCATTTTGGCTCAAGGGGCCTGCTCCTGAACTTCCAACCTCGCTCAAGCATTGCAGCGCGACAGGCGTGCGAACCGCGCGTCGCCCCGAAGTTTCTCAGCCGCCGCGCATGTCGCGTGGCAGGTATGCTTTGGGTCCTGTGTGCAGTGCTTGTGGGTGTAAGAAGAACCCAGTTACCAATCGTGCCTGCTACCATTGCGGAGCCGAACTTCCCCAACTGCCCCAACATGGCGCTCCTCCCCCCCGTGGTGCGTGGAATCGTCAACCCTGGGTGTTCCAAAGGCATGTTGGAGGAGGAGGTGGTGGAAAGGGCGGCAAGAAAGGTGGTGGCAAGGATAAAGGTGGTAAAGGATATGGAGGTAAAGGAGGTGGTGATGGAGGAGACTATGGCGGCAAAGGACGAGGAGGACCAGGAGGGCGAGGACAGCCAGAGGACCCTAAGACTCTTGGAGGCGCCCGTCCCCCACGTCGTCCGCAGCGGGCTGACGGCCTGTCCGCGCATGATGAACTACACCGTATGTTTCAGTTGTCGCAGGGAGCCAACAACCCCTTCGGTCAGGAGGTGGCGGAGTCTTTGCGTACAGCGTGGCAGAAACATAAGGAAACCAAAGAGCAGCATATCCCTCCAAGCAAGCAGCTTCAGCGACATGAGCAATATGTACAGAAGCGTGAGAAAAAATATTCAGCAACTTAGGGCCTGCAAGCAAGAGATTGAGCAACATATCTCCGATCTCTCTGATGAACTTGACGACCTTGAGGAGGATCTTAAGCTGGAGGAGGGAGACTTGGCGGAAGCGAAGAGAGCAGCAGAGCTGGTGGCGTCGGCGGGCGCCATCCCGCAGGCGCTGGCCGACCCAGTGCGCACCCTGCTCGACTCGCTCGAGCGCTTCGCCCCCGACATCCCGAATCAAGAGGCACAAAACACTCTACAGCAGCAGTTTCAAGCCGTGCGTCGCCTTGTGCCTGCTCCTGCTCCTGCTCATGTTCACATTCCCCCACCTCCCAGCAGCAGCCGATGAGGAGATGGGTGGAGATGAGGACCTCCAGGGGGCCTTCACGGATGTTGGGATCGCCGAGGGGACCAAGAAGGCCATCATGGAGGCACTGTTGGCTAGGAAGAAGACGAAGGCCAATCATCCCACTGGGGCTCATCCTGGGGGCAACGAGTGGGAGTATGGTGGTGCAGCCGAAGATGGGTCTGGGCTTTGACGGTGATGAACTGGGGCCAGACTCTAAGGTCACTTTGGCGTTGTTTGGACTCCTCGGGGCCCCAAAACGAGGAGCTAAAGCAGTTCGTTTCACATCGTGCAATGGGAATTGCTGGGCGACAGCCGAGCCTGTTGTTTTGGCGAGCGATGCAGATGTGGTGTTCGTGCAAGAACACAAGTTGTCCCTTGAGCGTCAGAAAGACACCAGTGCATGGATGTTGCAATCTGGGTGGCGATCTTTCTGGTCGGAGCCTGAGATTTCTGGACAAGGGAATGCCATTGGAGGAGCCTGTATCTTTGTGCGCCGCCATTTAGCTGCGTGGAGCTCCCCTGTGAATGGGGCGTCAGTCATGCCAAGACACTTGGCCCACTGCTTCTTGAGGACCTCGGACCTTGGGACCATTGGGCTCTACTCTGTTTACCCCCGGGACTCTGTGAAGGTTACGGGTGTCAATGTTCAATTCTTGGGCAAGTTAGGCGAACGAATCCAGTCGTACGGGGTCCCCTTTGTCTGCGGAGGTGATTGGAATATGGAGCCCTCGGAGCTGCGCTCAGGGTTCCCGATCGATAGGCTTCGCGGAGGTTTTCGGTTTGATCCAGCTGTCAATTCCCATGTGTTTGATGGGGGAGAGAAGTCCAGCAACCTCGACTTCTTCTTCCTCGGCCTCTCCCTCGATTCGGTCGCCTCGGACGCCGTGGTTGAGTTAGATAATGTTCTGGTTCCAGGACCGCGCAGACCCGCTAAGTTCACTTTGTCGCGAGCAGTGCAGGATGTCCAGGTCCAGGTCCTGACCAGGCACGCCACGGTACCCACCAAGCCAGCCATTGGACCCGCACGGGAGCCCCCAGACTATCATGCACTTGGAGTTCGCGTTGATGAGTTTCTGGAGGCACAGCGTTCAGGAGGCGAGATCTATGCGCTCACTGGGGTAAATCGCACCGAGGGCCAGGCGCTGCTCGACGCCGTGTATCAGGACTGGGTCGAGAAAGCGCGGGGGGAGCTGCAGCGGGCAACCCAGACCGAACCTCGCCCCAAAGCCAGGCCGGGTGGTGCGAGCCTCGAAATCAAGAAGCGACCCCTTAGGCAAAGCCTGGCGACTAAAGAGAGCGCCAAAAAGTTGCCTGCTGTAGCCTTCCACTGGCTTAGGAACCGTATCCAGGAATTGAGGCACCATCATAGGAAGGCGCTCTCTGGACAGGAATCGAAGTATTATTGGAGTCTGATTGCCAGTACTCGCAGACGCCTTCATCGTGGAGGGCCTCTCCGTACTCATCTTGGCTTACGTGCAGATTCTTGGATTGTGATACTACAGTTCCTGATATCGAAGCTTACAGCAGATCTTGCGAGTCCATGCCCACAATTTGATGTTGAGCTTTCTGCGTGGATTGAGCTCCTTTGCGTTGTGGAAAAGGCGGAGATTCGTGAGACAGGAAAGCAGAAGCGTGAAGATTGGCGGCTCTGGTGTGGGGATGCTCTCTCGTCTGGGGCGAGCAAGGCACACAGCTGCAGCAAGCTGAAGCCGAGCTACCAGGAGGGGATATACGTCAAAGATGATGGCACGATGACAGCGTCTTTGGGAGCAGTCCTCTTGCAGCAGGAGGAGATCTGGAAACAAGCCTGGCGCGCTAAGCCTGACAGGAGCCCTGACTTTGAAGCTCCTGCACTGGTGCGCCCGAGATGCGAGGGCCAGCCTGCGACGGATATCTTCCAAGTTCAAGGAGAGGGCGATCGCCATGGATGGAATGCACCCCCGTCGTTTTGCCATTTTGTGTGATGGGGCGCTGGAGACGCTGAGTGGCATCTTCGCCCTCATGGACATGGTAGCCAATGCGCCAACAAATCTGCAGCAGGTCATGATCAGTCTTTTCAGGAGGCCAGAGAAGGGCAGACGGCCGATTGGTTTCTTTACCAGCACGGTCAGACTTCACGGCAAAACGGTCGCGCAGCAGGCGCGGAAGTGGGAAGTTGACATACTTGATCACCCGTGTTTCAGCATGGGCCTTGGCAGGGGGCCCTTGGGCGCCGTCTGGAGGCAGTCGGTCCGAGGAGAGGCCCTGGCGAAGGACGGCTTTCACATGCTTTCTGTGCCCTGGGACTTACGGCAGTTCTACGAGCACATATCGCGTCATCGATTATGGACGGTGGCCCATGATGTAAGCTATCCAATTGCAGCTATCCAGTACAGTCTCAACTCGTACAAGTGGCCGCGGGGACTAGCGCTAGAAGGCCTGGTGTCCGACGCGGTGTTTCTACACTCTGGCATCATCGCAGGTACTGGCACGGCGACGTACGAGGCCAAGGTGCATGCGCTACCGACAGTTGATGATTGGCTGGAATCAACGACTGCAGCAGTTCAGCCTGGACAAGGGTTGGCGACTCTCACGGTGCACATAGATGACTTTGGGATAAACACTGCGGCAGTGCACTTCTTCGACTGCGCCAGGATGATGTACGACAGAGCGACGGTGTTAGCGCAACTTATCCAAGAGATGATGGGAGCGCCGCTGGCCATGGATAAGCTGGCAGTAACGGGGTCTTCTCAGGCCTTAGTTGAAGCGTGCAAGGCGTCTCTAGGAGATCTTGCTGGGAAATGCGAGGTGGCTCCGAAGAACCTTGGCGTGGACTTCGCTCCTGGTAAACATCGGCGTCAACCTGGGCATGGTCGTACCAGACGCAAGAGGTTTGCCGCTGTGCGTCCAAGAGTTCAGAAGCTCTTGAAAATGAAAGGGGCCAGGCACTTGAAAGCTCGTGTGTATTTCTCTGGGGTTCAGGCGTCTGCCCAATATGGAGGTGAAGTTCTTGGTCACACCCCGAAGGAGATCCACTTCCTCAGGCGTTCTGGAGCTAAAGTTCTTGGGTTTCTTGGAGGCGCTCTGGATGTCGGGCGGCCCCTTTTCCCCGACAAAGATCCCCTGACCCGAGCGGGGGAAACGCTGAAGCGCTACGCGAAGGAGTGGTGGCAGGCCACAGATCCTGAGCTCATCCAGGGAGACGGTCTTGGGGCTCGGGAGCTTAAAAATTCCTTCGAGGTTTCCCTGTCCCACCTGAAGGATCTTCCACAGGCTCCCTCGTGGCTCAGGAAATCGAGTGGTCCGCTTTCAGATATGCATCTCTGGATGAAGGAGGCGGGCTGGGGGGCGATCAATCCAGCTGTCTTTGCGGGACCAGATGGAGTACATCACCATCTGACGGCCACCCCGCCCCACCAGGTAGCTATATGTTTTGTTACGGATTTGCGAAAGCGATTTTTGCAACCGGTTGTGACCAGGGCTCTTGGAGAGTCCACGTGCGAGCGGCCCCAGGAAATTCGTGACCGTGGTTTGTGGACCCTTGGAGCCAGGCGTCTTTTAGCCAGCAAGAAGGTTCCCAAACACTATAAGCGGCTTCTAGAACAAGTTTTTACGGGCAAGTACCCCACAGGTTTAACTCTCCAGCGATGGGGGTACGACACGGACGGCAAATGTCCGCACTGTGGGGGGCCCGATCATATCTTTCACCGCGCCTGGACCTGCCCCTGGCTGGAGGCTGAAAGAGAGGGGCAGGATGAGGAGATTAGGGCCATGGCGCTTCATTGTGGACCTGAAGACCCCCTCTTCTCCTCGCTTTGGATGCCCTCCCCCCTTGTCACTATGAAGCCCATTGAAGAGCCAGAGGTTCATTTCTTTGACAGCAATGGGCCATGTGACCTCTTTTTTTTTCGCAGGACGGATCGCCACTACAGTGATGGGAGCTGCTATGATGGGGCCGTCCCAGGGGTTGCGCGAGCTGGGCGGGCCGTTGTGGCCGTCGGCGATGACGGGAGGCTCTTGTGGGGGATCTCTGGACCCGTGCCCGACGGAGTGCCGCAGACGGCTGCGGCGGCGGAACATCATGCTGCTTGCATGTTTGAGCGGCATCTTGAACCGACGCCCGAGCCAGTTCCCCCCCTTATAGTGGTTTCCCTCGGCACCGTCCTGCATGCCGACTGTCAGGCCGTTGTCTGGGGTGCATCCAATTTCAAAGCAGCCAAGAGCCATAATTCACCCCACGCGGGGTATTGGCGGATTTCGGGTAAGCCCAGCTTTGTGGTTGTCAAAGTTAAAGCCCATCGGAAAGAGGAAGAGGCAACCAGTGCCTTAGACCTCTGCCATGTTCGTGGCAACCAGCTGGCTGACCACTATGCGAAGATAGCCGCGCGTCGTAACAACCAGTGTGCGGCTGATCTCAAGTGTTTTACGGATGCCCGTAAATTGTATAAGCAAGTTGCCCTCAACATGCTCCAGATTCTTGTGCACTGGCCGACCCTGAAGCCCCTGTATGGGACCTTGTCCAGGACCCAGAAGGCTCGGGTGGCCCCGCCCCTCCCCAGGCCCCACTCTCCCGTCTGGGATGGCCATCAGTGGAGGTGCCAGCAGTGCCACAGGATTGGAGCGAGGCAGCTGAGGAATTCGAAGTGTGTTGAATTCGCCCCGTCGGTTTCGGCTCTTATAAATAGAGCGGCTTCGCCTGACTATCCCCATTCTCTGTGGGTTGGTCAGCGCGAAACCTCAGGGGTCCCTGTGGTGTTTTGTGGAAGATGCGGGCACATGGCCACGGCCAGAGCGGTCAAGCTCACAGGGCCGTGCCACCCGTCCGCGTCCTCTCAGAAGGATTTAAAGAAGCTGTGGAAAGGGGTTCTGCCAGGGGGGGACGGTCAACGCATCACCCAGCCCTGGCCCATCCATGCGCTTCCTTCGGCTCCGCAGGCTCTCACCCCTCCGCCCTCCAGGTTATTGCGCGCCCTCAAGGCAGGCGGCACGTGACCGTGGAGGTGCAGGCAGGCACGTGACCGTGGAGTTGGGGTCTCTGATCGTTCTCGCCGTAGCCATTTGGTTCAAGCAAGGGCAGCGCAGCCCGGGCGCCCGCGCCGGGCCGCGCCCCTCCCCAGGGGCCCCCGCCCTCCTCGGGGCGCCATGGCGCCGCCCGCTGCTGCCCGTGGCCGCGCCGCCCTCGCCCTGGCCGTGGCCGCCGAGCTCTCCCGCCCCGGCGCCGGGAGGGCGGACGAGCCCGCCGTGGGCTTCCGCATAATTGGCAGCGGGTCTTGCCGCACGGCGACGGACGGGGAGGGGACTTACACATTTGCGCACCCGACGACCGCTGCGGACTGTGAGCGCAGCTGCGCAGAGGACGCGGCGTGTGTGGCGTACGAGGTCACGTACCTGGTCGCGCTGTCCCCCCTGTTCGACCCTGGCAGGGCCAGGTACTGCAAGATCCACACGCAGGCGGTCATGATGGCCGACAGGTCGACGAACAGGTCGGAGTGCTGGGTCAAGGAGGGCTTCAGAAGGAGGCGCGACTTCGCGCTCCTCGGGACGGGCTACTGTCTCCCGGCCAGCGGGGAGCGCTTCCGTGTGGCGGCCTGGGACGTCGCGCCGCCCGGGTCCTTCGCCCACCACTTCCAGTGCCGGACCGCCTGCGACGCGGAGAGCGCCTGCACGGCGTACGAGCTCCGGAAGGTTGGCGGCAAGCTGGGCTGCAAAGTGTACACCGACCCCATCACGCAGGTGGAGCCCTGCGAAGCGGGCAGGGACTGCTGGTGCTGGGTCGTGAGGCCGACCGCCACGCCGGCGCCCGCCCAGCAGAGCGGCGAGTCGAAGTTTTGGTGAGGCATCGTCTTCCTTCATCATGGCACGGCGTCGTGGAGAGCCCATCAGTTTGTTCCTGCTTTGAAGAAGCAGCAGGCCTTCGGATGGGAACGGAGGCGTAACACGCTGGCGGGCCACAAGCGGTAGCGCGCCATCGGTCTTTGACTCACATCTGAAAAATGTTCATGGTTGACCCCCCTCCGGTGCCCATTGTGTTTTTTACTTGAAGCGCCCCTCCTGGGGCTCGCACCCTGTTTGTCACAAAGGAGGCAGGAGGAGGCGCCCGGCCTCCGTCCACGAGGACACAGGCCTATGCCCTTTCTCATGGGTGCTCTTGGGGCCTCCGGTTTCACTGGGCAGGCTGCTCTCCTCCCGTCCTCGCTGCCACGATATACCATCCGCTCGTACCCATCGGCCGTGGAAAGTAGGTATGTTTGGACTCCCAGGGTCCAATCTATGTTGAGCGTCGTCCTGCTTCAATGATCGAGTGGCTTCGCCTCTTCCGTCCTCTTCAGGTGGCTGGCGGAGGCCCCATCTGCTTCCAACGCCTTCCTACTTCATGCTTCTAATCACCTACTTCTTCCGACCGATGGGTATTTGAAGTGAAGCTCGGCGGAGAGTCTTCGCTTCTTCGTACCTGCTGCGTTTGCTCTGCCCCTTCTCTCCTCCCTCCCAGTGCCGCCTCCGCCCGTGGTCTGTCAGCAGGAGCGCGTGACAGAATGGCCAGAGTGGCGACCTGCCTCGCCAGAGAAGACCGCCCATTTGTCCCGAGGGTGGCATGGGCTCCGAAACCCAACGTACAATGCACAGCAAGGGTCGTCTGTATATCACGAGAAGAAGGCACGCCTCCATCGCCCCCATCGCCCCCATCGCAAGGACAGGGATCCAGGGAGCTGTGGCAGTAGCATGTGGCGTGTGGCCGGCGTCTCCCCCGGGAGGGTCTAGAGGGCTGTGGCTGTGGCTTCGAGCGCTTGGTGCCCCAACGGTCTGCAGGGCTGTGGCTTCGAACCGACGCTTCCTGTCCGCTCTCGCGACTGCCTCGTTGCCAGCGCCGCTCAGCCGCGCAGCCGCCTCGGCCGCGGTTCCGCGGCACAAGCCACTGCGGGGTTGAAGCGGCCCCGTTGTTCAGAGGCGGAAGTGGTACCGTTGTTCCGTTGGACTGGCCCCTCGTTGGCCACTGTTTGGGCGCATCCTTGGAGGCCCTCGTCGCCACCGCTGTCTTCGACTCGAAATCCTGATTAGAACGCACCCCATGTCGATTCTGCGCTTGCATTCGGTTTGTCTCATGGGCGAAAAGTCTGTCCGTAACAATCCGCGGCCTTGCGGACTAGGCCCCTGTGCCGCGACCACGCGGATACGGGGTGTTTTTGTCGCGGACGCCCCGCGCGGCACGCATCCGTGCGACTGCGTATTTGCGGGATCGCGCCCCAGAATGCTGAGCGCGAGGGCGCGTATACGGATATGTCGGGGAGTCGTAGAGGGGGGGGTTATCCCAAGGTGGGGCTGGTGAACGGACCCAGCTTCTTCCAGGGGCCGTTTGGAGCGATTTCTCTTCCAAACACACCATTGCCCCAACCCCACCTCTGTGCCCCCCCGAATATGTGCGCCGCTCGCGACTGTCCATCGAAAAACCTTTCGCGCGGGTGACACGTGGTCTTTTTGGCTGCCGCCGCTGTCGCCGCTGCCTCCCTGCGTGGGCGCGCGCCCGCTTGCGTGGGCGTGTTTCGCGAGCGTTGTGTGGCCAAGAGGCCCGCTCGTTGCTTCCTCCTGGAATTGGGGATCCGAAGTCTCTGTCTCTTCCTCGCTGCGTGCCGGCGCAGGGCCTCTGCCTGGCTTGCGCCGCCTCCTTGTACGGATACCACCAGGCCGAAGAAGCCAACACGGCGGCATGATCAAAACATGATTCGGAGTTCCGCGCGGATGTCTTGGATCGGCGCTGCGCCCCCTGCTGGCGCCTCCGTCGCCGCCCCCAGCGCGCCCCTGGCACGCGGGGGGCGGCTCAGTTCGACCGACGTTCGTCGCAGCATCGACGCATGCGTGAAGCGAGTGGCTTCAGGGAGCCCCCCAGAACGACCATCTCATACTTTTCGGGGAGACGCGCGACTCGAGTACGCCGGAACTCGGATTTGCCGACGCTTTTTGACGAGCGCGCCCCAGATTTTCACGGGCCAGTTTTCGTGGGACGCTTGCAGCGGGAGATCGAGTCAAATTTCAGGCTGGGTCTTGGCATTTTCATGATGGCCCCCGTCAGGCCAACCCGAGTCCCTCGAACCCGACTCTCACGTCTCCCCGAACTGTGTCGCAGACCAGCTCTCCACCTCCACCTTTCATACCTTCCGCAGAGCGTGCGAAAGAAGTCATCAGAACTAATTGAAAACTTACGCAAGTCAAGGAAGCCCACATAGATCGTATCGAAAAAACATCGAAGAGGGGGCGGAAGGTCATGGCGGAAGGTCTGGAAGAATGAGGGGCAGGGTCGTGCCCTCAGGCATTTTTGTTGTTGGCTCTGGCCGATCTGCGCCTCCTGGCCTTCGTGGGCGCCCCGCCGTACAAGCCCCCTTTTTGCAGAAAGGATGGCGGCGAGCGCCGGCGGCAGGGCGAGCTGGACGCGTGCGCGGAATAGGAGAAGAGAACATGGCTCGAGCTCCGTGGGGCCTGGAAGCGACAGGGCCGTGCTTTTACCGTCTCCGTTCCGCCGTTATCTTGTTGGTTCCGTCGCCGTGTTTTGTTCCCAGCTCCGTCCCCGTTGTTTTTGTTTCCAGTTCCGGTTCCCGTTCCAATCCCGGAGCCGTTTTGGGTTGCCGTTTCTTTTTTACCGCTTCCATGTTTAAGACATTTGTTAGAAAACGATGAAGAAACGGCCCTGCCGTTTCCAGCGCCCATTCAGGGCACGATCATGATTTTCTTGGACCTCCTTTGGGATCCCCAGTGTCGTAGATGGGTCCCCCCTCTGGCGGCGCCTCCTGCGCCTGCCTTCGAGTGCGCTCGAGGTGCAACTCCTGGGAGGTCGGATTCGGCATCGGTGCTGGTAGATCCGTGGTCAAAACGAGGCATTGTGTTTTTTGATACGTGCTGGCGGTAGCTGGGGTTACTTGGGTGGGAAGGGGTAGGAGGTCACGATTCGCGCCAGCGCTGTCTGAGAATGCCTAGGAATGCGAAGGGATGGCTGATGCCCAAACGGCGCCGGCGCGAGTCGTAACGATACCAGGTGTGGGGAGAGGGGGGGGCGCATGGCCTGCAAGAGGCGTTACCACGAATGGTACAGAATCTGCTCCACCTGGCACGACGGATCCGGCATAATCCCGCTCAATCCCGCTTTGTCCCGCTGGCTCAATCCCCGGCCCATACGGGCCAATGTCGCTCTCATGTCTCCACAATACGTCTTCATAGTCTGCGTTTCTTACGAAGACCTCCTACGCCCGCCCGACCTGACCCGCCCACCAGGGTCAGCACGCCCGACCGCCCCCCATCAGTCGGAGATCGATGGGGCCTCCGCCCTGCCATCGGCGTCACCCCAACAATACTGATACTGTGTGCGTGCCTTCCCCCCCCCCCCCCGGGGAGCGACGCGCTCACCGAGAGATCTTCTAGTAGACGCGTCATGGCGGGCACTGTCTGGCCACACCGCTCGTGAAACGAAACACTGCAAGATGGGTAACATCTATATATATATATATATACACATATGTGTATATCCGTTCGGGTGGGACGCGCGCCTCCGAGGAGGACATGTAGTACTCGTAGGCCTCTGTGCGTCTCATGCCAAGCGAGCGACGCAGAAACGCGTGGTCGGTTTCGCCGCCACTGGCGCGCAGGCGTCCCGCGCAAGGTCGCGCGTGAGCGCCCTCGCTCCCGGTGCCGCGCGCGGCGCGGGCGGCCCGCGTGAGCTACCGCGCGAGGCCACTGTGTCGTGTTGAGCAAGGCGGCGGCGACCAAGTGGGGGAAATGAGAATGAGACTTCGTGTCGCTTGGACATGTGCATTTTGTCGGCGGGGACCATCGAGTGCATTTTTGTTCACCCTTCGAAAATAAAGTACGCACGAAGCCGAACACTGCACAGGGCATTGACGTCCGAGCGATGGCGAGGAGCGGGCCCTCTCAGAAGGCGCCGGGGCACATCAGAGGGCCTCGCTCCTTCCGAGAGGCCTTCTCTGCGTCTTCCCGGAATGCTTCGGGAGTCTGCTCAGGAGGCCGGGGGACCTCCGAGCCGTCCGAGAAGGCCCGCCGCCCCTCCTCACCTCCTCCCCTCGCCCGCCGCCGAGAAAAGACACGCACGACGCCAAGCACTACGGTGTTCCAACCTACTTCAGCCTTGATCACCAAAGAGAATTTCGAGCACCAGGCAAATGCCCCCCAAACTCGAGGGTTTTCGCGTGTCCGGCCCTGGGAGACGCTCGTTCGGCACGGTTCCGACGGTCTTTCGGCTTTTTTTCGGGGTGCTCGCAATTATTTCTTGGGGTGTGGTCTTTGAGTATTCAGGAGAGAAAGAAACACAGACACAATTAATCGTCGACTCCCAGGAAAAGATGGGAACATATGGGAAGTGGGGGGGAAGACAAACACCCAGAACATATGGGAACATCTGGGGTATCCTGTTATTTGTGTGTATTTACTTGCGTGTGTCCCGGGGCCCCTTCAAGTGCGAGGGGAGCAGCATAGGCCAAATTCAGATGCTCGGGACATGGGCCTCCCGAGCGGCGGGCCCGAGGGCTCCTCCTCCCCCCCCCCACGCCCCCCGTGGTGGCGTCTTCGCGCGCTCGGCCCGGCCCGCCTGCCCGGGGGCGCGCCCTCCCGTGCGGGGCGGCGTCGAGTGCCCGCCCCCCTAGCTGTGAGTCGGGCCTGTCCCTCGACAGGGGGAATGTTCAAGAATCGTCAAAACAAATTGTCTGGGGATTATTTTCCGAGTATGTTTGGGCATCTGTTGCGCATGTTTTGGGGTATCTTTTGTTTTTCGTCCAAAATCCCCCTGTGGGGGGACACGCCCGACTGAACCCCGGCTGCCCCCCGCACGAGGTGGAGCCCGGGACCGTCCAGCAGTCTCCAGTGCCTCGGGTGCCCCTGATGGGCCTGTTTTCCACCACCACCACCATAAGTTGAAGCAGGAGAAGGAGGTGGAGGAGGAGGAGGAGGAGGAGGAGGAGGAGGACCCCCTCTCCCTCCTACTCATGGTGGTGGTACGGAAAGAATGGGTACAATGCCCAACAGCAGTTCCTGTTCATTTTGAACAGGACTCGCTGTCCACGCCGCCGCGCCTGTGTCCATTTGAGACGGGAGGCCTCCTGCCCAACAGCGGCCGCTGTTGGTTTAAAGCAACATTTGTTGCTGGGCATTGTGCCCATTCTTTCCGTGCCCATTTCGGGCGTCCAAATCCAGTGCCCGGGGGCCCCCAAACGGGGTCGTGACCACACCGTGCGGTGGGTCGGTGGGGATTCCGGGTCACCGCACGGTTTTGGGGCTCGGGTCGTTCTCCGAGGATGTCTCGGGCGACAGGGGCCTCCGGGGTCCCAAGGCCGTGCGGTGACGGACCGTGCGGTGAGGTCTTGGGCGATTTCGAGGTCACCGCACGGTCTGTCACCGCACCGCTTCGGGACTGCAAAAGTGCGGGCAATATTCATATACACATCCAGTGCGTCTTGGAGTTTGGGGCTCTCTTCCCCAGAAAGCAGAGGCGCACTGGATATGAATAAACATCTGGCCCCAAGAGGCTTGATTGTTGTCCATATCCAGTGCGCCTCGGCCTTGCGGCAACACTCCCCAAAAAGTCCAAGACGCTCTGGATATGGATAGAAGTACTGCCCGCATCAAGGGTTAAGTCGGGCATGCCCCTCTACAGCAGGAACACGCAAAACTTTTCAGCAATAGTCTGAGGACGATTATGTTTTAACCGTTTTGGGATTTGATTGTTGGATATGGTTTGTCTATGTTCTATGGTTCCCTTAGATATCTGCGTGTAGTATGACGTGCCCGACCTCATTCTGGGGATGGGGGCCGGTCATAGGGAAGCGGTCTCAACCTCCAGGGATCCAAGCTGGAGGCAGCTTTTTTTCGACTCCCGGACTCGGGCCAGTGTGCTATGTAGCAGTGGCGAAACGTTTTAGCTTTCCTATCGGCCCACCAAATAATGATGTTCCAAGAACAATAGTTTTTTCTTAGAACATTTTTGGGTTCTAGCATGTCGTGATAGGCCTATAGGAATGCCAGGACGGTCGGTCCCTGCTCAACTATGGGGGGTGGGGGCTGGACGAGGATTGAGAGGAGATCTGGATGTCATTCAAGTCGGGGCACTTTTGCACGCCTTTTCGGCTCAGCGTTATGAAGAAGGGGGGAAGCACACAGACACACAGACATGCCGATTTCGAGTAACATACGGGACACAATGGGAAGTGTAGGCGAAGACGACAGTCAACAAACTGGAAGCGTAGGATGTGTACCCATATATTTGCGTGTCCCTGGGCCCCTTCCGTTGGTGGAACGGGTGGCGGAGAGGGGGTGGGGCGGGGGCCGCGAAGTGCCGTGCGAGTCAATGCTCGGCGGAGTCGTCACAACAAATATGGCGCTGTCAGCCTCCCGCCCGCCCGACGCGCCCCGTCAGGGGTCGGGGGGGGGGGTGTCAGCGCCAGCCTGGGAGATCCGCGCAGGCCTCCGAGCCCCGAACGGGAGCAGGCACTGCGTGGGCAAGAGCGTTCGGAGCTCCGCGCGGCTCTCCCGGGTCGGCGCGGGACCCTCCTCTCCTGGCTCCCGCAGCGCGCCAGGGGCGGCGCGGGAAGTCGCCGCCGGGGGGGGGCGGGGGGAGCGCCGATCTGCGAAGTCCTCGCGGAGCTCCGAACGCTCACATGTTTGCGGTAGGTTCGCGTTGTGTCGGCCTTCGTCGACGCCGCCGCGGGCGTTCAAGGTTGAACGCCGCCAGTAGCCCAGAATCGACCAACATGAAACGATTGGGCGATCGACGAGGCGCCGATCGTTCAAGGTTGAGGAAACCACGCGGTGTCAGAAACCAACGACGGGGTCGTCACGACAAGAACCTGCCGTAAGTATGCCGCTCGTTTCCCCTCCCGCGACAGTTTTTCTGCTCCTGCTGTCTTCTCTGCCCTCCTGCGGCAAGAAGAACGACATGTACGTGAATCCACGTTGGTTTCCAAAGTACGCATCGCGCGAACGTTCGTAGCTCGAGGTCAGTTTCGCGGACTGGGGGGCCGTATTCATGTACGTGGCTGGGCGTGTACGTCCTCTGTGGGTTCCTTATCGTTCCCCTCCTGCGGCGGTTTGTGCTCCTGCTGCCTTCAGTGCCGTTTTTTTATACATGCTCCGCGTGCGGGTGATGTATTAAACATGCAAGGGTTTCGTACTAAAAGCAAGGATGGATTCACGCATACGTTTATTCATACATAAATCATGTTTTATATATATATATACATATGTACACAAATCCCATGCTTTAAACATTGCCCTGTTCTCTTTTCTCCTCGGCGGCAGCCGCCCTGCGGCCTGGGCCTGGCGGTGGCGGCCGCGGTGCTCCTGGGTGCCGGCCTCGGCCTCCTCGCCTCGCACCTCGGGTGGGACACCGAGGAGCAGGCGGATCGCAACGTCGCGCCCCGCTCTCCTCCTCCCCCTCCTCCTCCTCCCCCTCCTCCTCCTCCCTCCTCCCTCCTCCTCCTCCTCCTCCTCTCCTCCTCCTCCTCCTCCTCCTCCTCGTCCTCCATCCTCCCTCCTCCTCCTCCTCCTCCTCCTCCTCCTCCTCCTCCCTCTCCTCCGCCTCCTCCTCCTCCTCCTCCTCCTCCTCGAGCAGGGGAGCGACCACAGAATTGATTTGCCCCAGAATGGATCAGGAGGGAAACAATAGCACACAGACACAGACACATGGATCACTCTCGGCCACGCGCAGAGGGGGGTTGGGGGCAGGGGGGAGGGCTTCTTAGAAGCACCCCTGCTTTTTAGAAGGCGCGTGCCTCTAAGAAGCAGCCTCCTTCTGCGAAGCCCTCCCCCCTCCCTCTACCCCCTTGCGCGCGCCGCCAACACTCGAGTAGGGGATCGACTACAGAATTGATTTGCCCCAGAATGGATTTCTCTTGTCGACTCCACGGGCAAGTCGTAGATTTTTCGCAGGTCTGCGGATGGTTGACGTATGTTTGTGGAAGAGTCGACGTGGAAAGCAATTTTGGGGTAGATCAATTCTGTAGTCGATCCCCCAGTCGAATCAAGGGAGCGTGGATTAGCGACGGGTCCCGGTTCAATGTGGAATCGCAGATTCCCGCAGCAGAGCGAGGCAGCACCGGCCGCATTTTGGGGAGGGCATTGCCCTGGAGTCATGGATTTGGCGACCGCGACCCAAATCCATGGATCGCTAATCCATGTTTGCGCACTCCCGAGAGGAGGCCGTCCTGGTGCTCGGCTTCCCGGGGCTGCTCTGGCTGAAGGCTCTGAGGTTCTAGGGCTCCTAGATGGGGTCGGCGCAGATGGGGTCGGAGGATCGCCCCTCATCGCCGATGCATCGGCATGCATCGGCGATGTGGCTCGATGTGGGGCCCGGTTCTCTCCACGCCTACGTCGCCCATGTATCTCCGATGTCGCAAGAGCATCGCCGATGCATCGGCGATGCGGCGCGATCCTCCGACCCCATATGCTCGGATCCCATCTAGGATGCCTCTCGAGGTGCATCGTGCTGCCGATGATCGTGCTCTCCATGGTCCAATCCTGGAGAGCCAAGAGGAGAAACAACTCGCGGGCGGAACGCATGTCTACATCCGCGGCCTCGCGAGCCGGACCCCTGGGCCGCCTACGTCTCCGCGGGATCGCTCCCCAGATCAAGCAGCGGCGAAGCGTCTTGGCTCGCCTATATCTAGGCCTCCCAGATGGGGTCGGAGCAAATGGGGTCGGAGGATCGCACCGCATCGCCGATGCATCGTCGACGCTGCTCGATGAGCAGCCCGATTTGCTTCACGCCGACGTCGCCGATGCATCGCCGACGTCGACAATGCATCGCCAGTGCATCGCCGATGCATCGCCGATGTATCGGCGATGCGTTTGATCCTCCGACCCCGTCTGCTCCGACCCCATCTAGGAGGCTTCTACTATAGGCCCTACCAAAGAATGTTGTAAGAACCTTTTGTGGTCTGCACGAAATATTCTTAGAACATTTCTGACTGAGAATGTTTTTCTTTAACACATCGAGTCTACGTTTACAGAACAGTGCTTTGTTTTTAGACCGTTTTCGGGGTCTAAGAAGATCTCGTTGTAGGCCTATAGGAATGCTGGGGCGGTCGGTCCATACTCAACCGGAGCCCAGACCGCGAGGACGGACACGGATCTTGTTCACCGCTCTCGAAAAGTTGCATTGGGATGTCCACACGACGAAGGATGAATCTCGGCATGCGCAATTTTTCGGAGTTCCGCGCGGATTTCTTGCATCGGCGCTGCGCCCCCCTTAGGGGCGCCTCCGGCGCCGGGGTAGGTGGTGCAGCGCTGTCCTTTTATCCTTAGGCGATGACGGGCGTGACCGGGGGGTGAGACGAGGGGTGGAGGCGGGGATCGGGGGCAACGATAAGGGGGGATAGGCACAGTGGGGGATGCATCGACCCCAAATCGCGCATTGATCGCCGATAGGGGCCCCATAGCCCCAACCTGCACAGGAAGGTGCGGATTCACTATCGGGGGCCTATCGACGATCAATGGGCGATGTATCGTATCGCCGATTCCAGGTCGATGCATCCCCCCCTTTGCCAGTCCCCCCCTATCGTTGCCCCTCAGGGGAGGGGGTCTATCACGGAACGATTAGCACCAGATCCGTCTGGGCGCCGGCGCGAATGGCTAATTCCTACAGGCCCTGGCAGTCACGGGCGTTACCGCGAGTGATACAACAAACGGTGGTCTTGGGTCACAGAGATCATGCGGCCCCTCACGAGCGGGGGTGTGGACCTTACTCTGGCCTCGCTGCCAGTGGGCTCCGGTCCCAGAAGCAGTTGTGATTGGTAGCTCTGGTGAGTGTTTGATGCGTCTGTTTTTGTGAAACCCAGACATCCAGCGTTGCGAATAAAAATCGAGACGAGGTTTTCATTGCTCTGGGCCCTTCAGGGCTCTGAGCGGGCCTCGAGGCCGTCAAAAAACGGCCCAAGATGAAAAGCGGTCCCTGGGCAGTGGTCGAGAACTCGGGGCCCGTGTCTCGAAAAAGTCGAGACGCTGGTCTTGGAATGATACCCCCGGTTTGAGCGCCGGCCACGCGTGCATTTCTCAACGGCCGTCTGACCAGAGCGCTGGTCATGTCTTCGGCTAGACCTGTCGGCCACGCGCAGAGGTGGGTAGGGGGAGGGGGGCAGGCTTCATAGAAGCACCCGTGCTTCGTAGAAACGGCGGGCCTTGTGTGTGGATGTAGGGCCAGCGTCGTCTAAGTAGCAGGCCCCTTACCTCTACCCCCCTGTGCGCGCTGCCAACAAAAGCCGTCTGGCAGGAGCGCTGGCTATGCATTCGGCTTGATCTAGTCCGCCTTTACGCCCCACCCTCGCGCCTGAGCTGTGAGGACGTCTCAGGCGAGAGTGCTGTGATGTTTGGTTGATTGGTTGGATCGGTCGCTTGGTTAGGCGCTCATCTCATTGGCTCGGCGCCGTTTCTTTTACGGATCCGTCGCCGTTTTTGTTTCGTTTCCACCTCCAGCCTCAATCCTTCTGATTTTTGTCCCGTTCTGGCGAACCGTGTTTTTCGTATTTTTTCCGAGGAGCGAGATCAAGATCTTTGGAGAGGTGCAAGAGCGGCCCTGCTGTTTCCAATTGGATCGGGGGGCGAAGTATGGCCACCCCCCGCGCGCGTACCTTGTGCCGGATCAGCTTTTTCGTCGCGGTGGTGTGCAAGAATCGCGTCTCCACGGGATGCCAATTCTGCACACACCCCCCTCGCCACAGTCTCGTGCCGGGCCAGCTTGTTTCTGGGGATGGTGTACAACAGTCGTGCTCCCACACCAGGTGCCTGCTTCTCCGGGAAGCGTGAGACTCGAGTGCGCCAGGACTTTGGTTTGCCGACGCTCTCTGACGAGCGTGTCCCCGAGTTTGACGGCCTGGTGTTCGTGGGATGTCTGCAGCGGGAGCTCGCGTCAAATTTCAGACGGGGTCTCGTCATTTTCATGATCTGGCGGCGCGCACAAGGGGGTGGAGGGAGGGGGGAGGGTTTCTAAGAGGGAGGTTGCTTCTTAGAAGGCGCCGGCCTTACATCTATAGATAAGGCCCGCGCCTTCTAAGAAGCAGGGGTGTTTTTAAGAAGCTTCCCCCCTCTGCGCGCCGTCAAACGATGGTCCCGTCAGGCCGACCCGAGTCCCTCAAGCCCTAGTCTTACGAGCTCGGGCGGGCGCGCGGCTCTCGAGGCCCGTGGTGCCCGCAGGCCCCGCGGTGTGTGTGTGTGTGTGTGTGTGTGAGTGGAAGGCGCACGGCGCGCGTCGGTTCGCACGGGTTGGAGCCAGTTGGGGGTCCGAGGTTCGGGCGCTGCTGACCTCGGAGCCCCAGCAAGCTCCAAGGAATCGGGGGCGGCCAGGATGGAGGCGATGACTAGGGTCAGGTCTGGCATGTCCTCCTCCAGGCCGATATTGGACGAAAAATAAAACATACTCAAAAGGTCTTCAACATTTTTTTACTATTTTTGGATACCCCTCCTGTAGAAGGACAGGCCCGATTTAAGACTAGGGGGTGGTAGATATCACGGCGGGGGCCATGCTGTCATGTCTCCTCAGATGTTCATGTTCCCCCCCCCCCCGGGACCGCGCAAGCGCCGCCGGCCACGAGCTGCGCCCTTCCCCTCTTGGACCCCCCCCCTCGGCCGCCACCAAAGGAACGGGGGGGAGGAGGAGGAGGAGGGACCAGCAGGAGGAGGGGGAGGCTGCGATTCCTCCTCCTCCTCCTCCATCCTCCCTCATCCTCCTCCTCCTATCCTTATTCCTTATTAGAATATACTCCTACTCCCCCCTCAGGCCGGCAGATAGGGGCCCCATCCGGGTGGTCCCATCCTAACATGTAAAAAACAATACAAAATCAACATTTTTCTTATTTTTTCCTCTCGACATGGACGTCCTGTCGTCCACGGCGATAATCCATTGCAAAAAATACCACAAAGAGCACACGCGCGCGTTCATGTCAGAATCCTACCGAACACCGTGTGTTTGCAAGCATTTCAACATAAAAACATCAAACACCCAATGCTTTTTCACAAAAATTCTACAAATTTCCTGCCCGGGCTCTCTTGCTGAAATCATAGGAAAACCATAGGAATCTTAAGAATTCGGTCAAATCCAGCGATTTCACGTCATCGCGCGGTGCACTCGCGATGCTCTGTCATGCACCCAGGCCGCGAATCCTGTGCAAAAAATACCACGCGGGCGACATGCGCGCGCGTCGCCGCGAGCGCATGCTCAAATCCTTCTAGAGTCGTCGCCGTCATTGGCACCGTCGCATGGACGTCCTGTCGTCCACGTCGCAAAATGCATGGCAGGAATGGGACGCGGCGCACACCCCGCGCCCGCCCATCCAATCCGTCCCATTCTAATCTGCAAAAGACAATACACAGTTTTTGTTTTTCTTGTCAACATGGTCGTGCTGTCGTCACGTCGCAAAATGCGTGGCAGGAATGGGACGCGGCGCACACCCCGCGCGAAGGGGTGACATGTCGCTCTCGCCTCGGCGCCGCGCACCAACGTTTTTCCTCTCAGCATGGACGTCCTGTCGTCCACGTCGCAAAATGCTTGGCAGGAATGGGATGCGGCGCACACCCCGCGCCCGCCCATCCAAACCCCCCCGTTATAAAAAAAACAATACAAGTTGGGGCCTTCTGGCTTCCTGCGGTGTACCGGGCCATTCTCGACTCGTCTGGCAATGCGTGCGCGGCATTCAACACGCGCTCGCCAGTTCCCGTCGGCAACCGCCATCGCGGCCGCATCAGCTGTACCAAACCGGCTGGCCGGTGTGACTTCGGCCCCCAGTTGTGCCAGCTTTGCTTCTTATGTTGTGGGAGGGCGGGTGGGACTGGGCATGCCATGCTTGACTCGCTCGAGCTGGCTAGCTTGACTCCTACTCTCCTCCTCCTCCTCCTCTTCCTCTCCTCCTCTTCCTCCTCCTCCTCCTCCTTTTCGTCCTCCTCCTCCTCCTCCTCCTCCTTCTCCTCCTCTTCCTCCCCCTCCTCCTCCTCCTCCTCCTCCTCCTCCTCCTCCTCCTCCTCCTCCTCCTCCTCCTCCTCCTCCTCTGGTCCATCGTTTTCCTCCTCCTCCTCCTCCTCCTCCTCCTCCTCCTCCTCCTCCTCCTCCTCCTCTGGTCCATCGTTTTCCTGCTCCTCCTCTGGTCCATCGGGCAAGGACCAGGAGGAGGAGGGACCAGGAGGAGAAGGGAGGAGGGGGGGGGGCCTGCGATCCCCTGGCCCTCGTGGGCGCCCCTGGCCGCCTGCCCGCCCGCGGGCTCCCGTCGCCCCGAAGGGTCCCTCCCCCGCCTGGCGGGTGCCGCCCGCCCGTGCTGCGCCCCGCCCCGAGGCGTCCCCAGGAGTGCCCAGGAGTGCCCAAGGGCGCCCTCGCGCCCTCCGTGGGGCTCTCGCCCCGGCGCTGCACGGATGGAGGGCGGGCCGCTTCCTCCATGGGGCTCTCGCCCGGGCGCCGCGCACGCTCGCTGTTCGAGGCAAGGCCACTGCTGCATGGACAACGGGCGGGCCGTTCTCGAGATGAGGCGTCCCCAGGAGTTCCCGAGGAGGCCAGAACGGGGAACAGACACACAGACAGAAGCAGTCAGTCGTCGACTCCCAGGAGAGTCTGGGAAAACATGTGGGAAGGGGGGGGGGGGAAGCGAAGACCAGACAATTTCGGAGGTTGGGGGGTGAGATCGCAGGGAAAAACGGAGGCCCCACACCGGGAGATCGGTTTCGGTTTCGTGCTCGTGTCGTGCGTGCGTTCGCCCTCACGTCCTCGAGCCAGGAGGGGAAAGACACGCAGACAGAGGCAATCGTCGGTCGTTGCAAGTAGGTATTTTTGGATTTCCAGATCCCAATCTACTTCCAGCGCCTTCCTGCTTCAAGAATCGATGTGCTCTGCTGTGTCTTTTGATTATCTGGGAGGGCCTGAACCAACCTACTTTATCCGCCGTCCTACCTCATGTGTTCACCTACTACTTCCGACCGGCATGCAATCGTCGACTCCCAGGAATCTGGGGAAGCATGGGAAGTGGGGGGGGGAGGCGAAGACAAGAAGATGCGGGCAACTATGGGAAGCCCTGGGATTATGGGAAAATTTGGGAAACCCTGGGAAAATATAAGAAACTATGAGAAGGCGAAGACCAGAAACCCTGGGATCTGTGTGCCTACTTCTCTGTGTGCCCCTGGACCCCCTCGCTCACGTCCTCTGGGGAGCCCCCCTCGCGAGGCCCCGCGGGCCCCCGCGTGCTCCAGGGCGGCGCGAAGAGCCGGGGGCCACCTCAGGCCAGGGTTAAGTCGGGCCTGTCCCTGTACAGGGGGGATATTAAAAAATAGTAGAAAATAGTATGGGGACTATTGTTGTCTGTATGTTTGAGCACTTGGGGGGGTATTTTGTGAGTATGTTTTCATTTTTCGCCCCACATCTCCCTGCAGGGGGACACGCCCGACTTATGACAGTGGCCAATCTCGCAGGAAGCCAAGTTCAAGCCAACGAGGAAGCTGAAGATGCCATAGAAATAGATTCAAGCAGTGGCGAGGCGTCCTGGCTCGCCTATAGCCCTGCCAAACAATGTTCTAAGAACCTGTTGTGGTTCCCACGAAATGTTCTTAGAACATGTCTGGCGGGGGCAGTATTGGTCTAACACGGCGGGTTCATGTTCTAAGAACATGTGCGTTGTGCTTACGTTCTTAGAACATTTTTGGGTTCTAAGAAACATTCGTGGTAGGACTATAGAAATGCCAGGACGGTCGGTCCCTGCTCAAAACGATGACAGTGGCTTATCTCGAAGGAAGCCAAGCCAACGAGGAACTTGAAGATGAAGATCAAATTCGAGTCTTGGCCGTAGAAGTATATGAAGAAAGATCCGACGTAGACGGTGGTGGTCAGCCTCTCTGCCACGTGGTGGGATGAGGGTCCCCCCTGCCAGAGAGAATGGACCAGCAATGATTCTGGCCAGCAAGAAGGGGGGCGGGAAGGAGTTCTAGGCTACGCACAAGGGGGAGAGGGGAGGGGGAAAGACTTCTTAGAAAAAACACGGATTCTTAGAAGGCGCGGGCCTCATCTATAGACGTAGGGCTGGAGCCTTCAAGAAGCAGCTTCCTTCTAGGACGCCTTCCCCCCTCCCCCTCCCCCCTCGCGCGCGCCGCCAATTATGGGTTCGCTGAGCTGTACCGTCAGAAATGGTTTTGGGTATTAAAAAAGTTGCAACACATGGACATCGGAAGCGATTCTGCTCTCACCGTTTCTGTGGGACCATTCTCAGCATTCACAGCCGCTCTGCGCGCGTGCCGGGCAAGTACCAGAGGGGCCGGTGTCAGTTTCCAAACCCAGCGTCAGGTTAGCGCCCGTGGCGTCAGATTAACCGCGGGGTGGGGTCTAAATCGAGAATGAGTGGATCCGAGCGTTGCGATCTGAGTACGAGTGAGAGTGAGGTTGGGTGTGCGAGAGTCTTTGTGTGCGTGTGCGTATGGGTGTGAGTGAGTTGGACCGTGAGAAGATCTGAGTGCGAGGGTGAGTCCACGTGTGAGCGAGTGTGTTCTGGGCGTAGGCTTGAGAAGGGTTCGAGAGAAGCCTGAACGCGAAATGAAGAAATAATAAGGAAAAGGGGCTGGGGTGAGGGGGCGGAGGCGGAGCCGCGACACCAATAACAAGAGCGCCATGCTCCGGCTACGGTAAACAAGAAAGAGTTGTTGTTTCAGGTTCAGGCAAGTTTACTTGCACGGCGTTGGCCCCCCCCCTCCCCACCCCGCCCCACCCCCTCGCCCCTCTTCAAACGACAACTGGCGAGCAAGTGCCTCTCGACTTGCGTGACTTCCGCACGTGCAGGTCGTTTGCGGCTTCCTTCGAATTCAGCCCCCCCCCGGTCCATGCAAGTACAGTCGGGGCGCTGAAGAAGGAACCCTTCTCCTTTGGGAGGTGCTCGGTGTTCCTTGATTGTTTCAAAGTTTGCCTCGGGTTTTCCTGAGGTTCTCCATGGGACATCGAGGTTGAACTTCTGGGGAAAAGGGGCCTCGTTCCTTATTTTGGGTTCCTTAGGTCAACGCCTACGAGTCTAAAACAAAAGGCTCAGAGCACACGATATCTGAGTTGGGCGCAATGATTCAGGGGTCGGCGCCCGAGCCGCACACATTCGTAACACTTCCCCGGTGCGCGAACTGCGCCCGGGGCGACGCCGTCGTGCGGGGAGGTGGGTCCGGCGCCGACCCAAGGTATCCGCGGACCCCCGGAGACCAGGACGCAGATAAATCAGGACACGGAAGACCAAGGAAACGACTTCCTTTCCTGCAAAGTTACGTTTTTCAGCACCCGTGCATGTTTTGTTTGCTGCACTGCAGGTTTCGGGATTGTGTCCGGGTTTAGGGGTGTCTTGCAGGCTATGGAGGCCTGTGTCCAGGTTTATTCTGAAAATGCTGCAGTGCAGTATTTTGTTCGTGCCGCCGTTTGAAAGAATTGGTTTCGAGGGATGTTGGCTGTCCGGGTCTAGCGTGTCCGGGTCTACGGGGCCCTGATATCCGCTCGGAGTTCCTGAAGTTTTTGCTTATGAAGTCCTCTTGGTTCTCCTAAGTCGATGGTCATGCTGAAGACTCTGCCGGGGGCCAGGACCATAGGGATCGTTGTTGTTGGGCTCTACTCGTTCACGTCGTTGTGTGCTGCGATTGTGGGTTGCACGGTGTCTGTGCTTGTCTTGCAGCCTCTCATGGGCGACGTCAGCCATTTAGACACGGATGACCAAGTCGTGCCAGATCTTGCCGAATTCACGACATTGGAGAGCATCCTGAACATATTCGATGGGCTCGTTCCTGAGAATTTGGTTCTGGATGCCGCCGACGACCGCCTCCTTCCAGTCATTGTCGCCTCGATCATATTTGGACTGCTGGTCAAGGATAAGAATGAGGACGGGACCCTATCAACGACCCTGGTGGTGGTTCAAGAATTAAGCGATGTGGTGGTGAGAGTCGTAACTACAGTGATGATGCTGGCACCTTTGGGAGCTGGCAGCTTGGTGTTCGCTGCAGCGACGAGATTGGACTTCGCAAAGACAGGTTTCGTCGTCATCGCATTTGTGCTTTCTGTCACGATCGGGCTCGGATTTCAATTCTTTGTCGTCTATCCGACTTTGATAACCTGCTTAGCGATGCGAAATCCGATGAGGTACGTGCTCGGTATCACTCCAGCTCTCCTGACTGCGTTTGGGACCTCGTCGTCAGCTGCCGCCCTTCCAGTCACCCAGCAGTGCAGCATCGAGAGGAACAACATCCCGCCACACATTGCCAAGTTCGTACTAAGCTTGGGCGCCACGATCAACATGGACGGGACTGTCCTCTACCTAATCTGAGCAGTCTTCTTCATCGGCACCATCGAAGGAGTGACGTTCGGCTTCGGCAAGGTCGCCACGATGGTCGTGTTGGCGATGTTTTGCTCTCTGGGTACCGCTCCTGTCCCGAGCGCGAGCCTCGTGCTTCTCGCCACAATTATGACGAGCGTGGGTGTCCCGATCACCATGACTTTCGGCCTCATCTGGGCAGTGGACTGGCTGCTTGACAGGATGCGCACGGTAGTCAATGTTGCCGGGGACGGGTCGGTGGCGGCCGTCGTGGATAGACGTTATTGGCATGAGGATGGCGATGTTGAGCTCAGCGATTCTAGCGTTGATGATCGCTTCGAGGCCGAGTGACAAAAGCTCGGATGTTGGGATGGTCTCGCCCCGACGTTGCTGTAGGCTTGTCGTCGGCTGCCTGCGGCAATCCTCGCACCGCGTCAGCGCATCATCGCAGGTTGAAAGGTTGCAAATCAAAACCGAAGTTTTGCAAATAATACCCTTGCAAGTGAGAACCTAAGTGCAATCTTTCGTTGAAGACCCGTTCCAATATCCTGCCTGGACTGGTGCGGGTCTGGAACATCTCCTCCGCCGTCCTCCCGCCACCACTCCCCTTGGAGGGGTCGGTTCTCCTGGGGGGGGGCGTGGGGCCATCTTGGGGCTCGTTAAGGGGGATCTCGGGGCCATCTTGGAGAGGGTCCGTTGATTCATCTCACGGAGTTTTTCTTTACGTAGCACCCCGCAATTGCGGATAAGAGTGAAGGGGCGGGCGCGGGCGACGCGGGCGTCGAACGGGCGGACCTCGTGGCCCTCACCTTCCATGCCGATGGCGCCCTCCTCCTCCTCCTCCTCCTCCTCCTCTTCCTCGTGATTTGCGTGCTCTGGCAAGTTCAGCGCGGGGGGGATCGCTGGTGGGCCACCCGGAACGAATGCAAAAAACAGCCCGCCGCAGGCGCCGAATTTTTGGCTCGTTCAGTGAACGTAGTTTGGGTCGCGGGTGTGTCGCGGGCTCACCACCTCCACCTGGAAGGAATTCAAAAACAGCCCGCCGCAGGCGCCGAAAAGTTTGATTTGCACACTGAACGCGGTTTGGGTCTTAGGGTCTCCACCTGGAACGAATGGAAAAGAAACCCGCCGCAGGCTCCGAAGTTTTTGCTTGTTCAGTCAACGTAGTTTGGGTCGCGGGTGGGTCGCGAGCTCTCCACCTCCACCTGGAGGGAATTCAAAAACAGCCCGCCGCAGGCGCCGAAAATATTGATTTGTACACTGAACGCGGTTTGGGTCGCGGGTTGGTCGCAGGTTCTCCACCTCGAACGGATGCAAAAGAAACCCGCCGCAGGCGCCGAACATTTTGGGTGGGTCGCGGGGTGAGTCGCGGGTGGGTCGCCGTGGATCGCGGGTGGGTCGCGGGTGCGGTTTGGGTCGCGGGTGGGTCGCAGGTTCTCCACTTGGAACGGATGCAAAAGAATCCCGCCGCAGGCGCCGAAAATTGTGGGTGGATCGCGGGGTGGGTCGCGGGTGGGTCGCCGGTGGGTCGCCGGTGGGTCGCGGGTGGGTCGCGGGGTGGGTCGCGGGTGGGTCGCGGGTGGGTCGCGGGGCGGGTCGCGGGTGGGTCGCGGGGCGAGTCGCGGGCGGGACGACGACGACAAACAACAAACAACAACAAACAACAACAACAACAAGAAGAATCCTCATCGCGGAATTCCAGTTGAGCCACGCACCCAGGGACAGTGAATGACCGTTCGGTTCAGCCCCCTCACTCTGATTAGATGAGGCCCGAGTGAGGTGCCACGAAGACGGATTATGCCAGATTGAACCCAAGATTGAGCGAGATTAAGCGGAAGTCTTTGGAATTAGGCCCGTCCTTCCACCTCCACTTTCCATATTTTCCAGCTTCCGCGGAGGGCGCGGAAGAATTCAGCAAAATCATAGACATCTTACCCACATAAATCGTATCGAGAAAGGTGAGGAAGGTTCTGGCGGAAGGTCTGGAAGAATGAGGTATGAGTTTGGACCCCCTCGGACAGTGACAGAAAACATGATGGGTGTTTTATTCGCTATTCTACCCTTCGGGATGTTGCAGTGTGCGACGCTTGCACGCTGATCGACAACGCTCGATCGCAATTGGCACTTCCATCTGCTGCTCGCGCCTGAGGGCCCTCTTGCGCCGCCGACTCAAAATATGCTCGCCTGCTGGCGGCCCGCTCCGGCCCTCGGGATGGGAAGCCGGTCCAGGCCGCGATTGTCCGGTGAGGGCGTGACGTGCACGCGCGCTTCTCCGAAGCGCCGCGCGCCAAATGCCCACGGTCAGGCTGCCGAGAGCCCAAATTTTTCGCGGGCTCGCCCTTCCACCTCCGCCTGTTTCACACCCTCCGACCTCCGCGGAAGGTGCGGAAGAGCTCGTCAGCATTTTTGGAAGCCTTTCGCAGCTCAAGCAAACACACACATTCATAGCGTATGTCGAGAGGTGGGGCGGAAGGTTAGGGCGCAAGGTCCAGAAGGATTTGAGGGAGTTTTGGGCCCCTCTCGGGCAGTGGCGAAGAGCACGACGGGTGAGTTTGTTCTGTTGCTCTTGCAGCTCTCTTCGCCCTCCGGTGGCCCGCGCCGACCTTGGGGGCCGGGTGGTCAAAAGCGAGGTAGGTTTGTTTTTCCCCTACCTCTGGGGGTCGACACAGTCAAGCAGTGGCGAAGCGTCCTGGCTCGCCTGAATCCCCACCTAAGCATGTTCTAAGAACTTTTTATGGTCTGCACGAACTGTGACCAAGCTTGCTTTGTCTATCTTGTTTGAACGCATCGGGTTCCGGTTTTAGGAACATTGCTGTTGTTTTGAAAACCTTTCTGTGCTCTAAGAACATTTCGGGGTAGGCCTATAGGAATGCCGAGACAGTCGGTCTCTGCTGAACCTGTCGTTCCCAGGGCCCAGTAAGGGCACGCCGTGCCTTTAGTGTAGTGCTCGGTTGCCCGCTCGTCGAGCTTGCGTGGCACGGCTGGCATTGGCCTTGCTGGGGCCTCCTAGGGTAGGGCATCTTGGGGAGATCTCAAGGCTTTTTGGGAGCTCATTGTACCATTTTTGGGAGCGGCCTTTGGCTTGCGCCATAGTTGTCGAAAGGCCAAACTGGTCCCAGCGCGGTTTTCAAACGGCGTGCGCAGTATGTGGGGGCTCGCCTTCGGAAAATTGCTGAAGGTTTCCACGGGAAGTAAGACTCGACTACACGTAAGAGTCATCCTTCACCTGAGTGACCTTGGGTTCGGGCTCACCGGGGCCCCCCGATCGCCGAGCGCGATGCCATAGTAGCGGCCTGCGCGCACCCAAAAAAGCCGCGCACCAAAGGTCACTCCTGCACAGAGACACTCTTGCGCGTAGCCGAAAGAAGTACTCTAATTCGACCCAAGGTGTCGCAGACGCGGCGGATTGCGAGCCACGCTCGCTGCCAGTGGCAGCGCTGTGCTTCTGCTTGTGTCCGTCGCAGTGGCTTGCCGCACTTGGGCGCCCACTCAGCCTGTGGGTGCTCGTCTTGGCGAAGTGCTTCCTGCAGCAGGATGCTGTGCGTCAAGGTCGGGGGAACGTAAGATTCGAGTGCGCCAGGACTCGGGTTTGCCGACCCTTCTGGACGAGCGCGTCCTGGATTTGTTCGATCCAGTTTTCGTGGGATGTCTGCAGCGGGAACTCGCGTCAAATTCCAGATTTGGGTTTCGTCATTTTCATGATTGCCCCCGCCACGCCAACCCCAGTGCCCCGAACCCGAGTCTTACATCTTCCCGACAAGGATGTGCCCGGCTGAGCTGTTGTTGTTTTTACGGGCGCGAGCTCTCATCTCCATCCATTGGTGATCGCCGTGCGCTGCACACCGATGTTGTGCAGCCTCGCTGAATTTCAGGTGGCAGCATTTGAGAACAACAATTTTCTGTGGAGAACATCGAGGTTCCAATTCCTGCCCCGTCGGGGGGAGGGCAGGGGGGCGCTTCATTCAGACACGACAGTAATCAGATGTTCTCTGAATCGGAACTGAGCGTCGTGCATTTTTGTCATTTGGCTCGCACAGCACAGTGGCTGACAGCTGTGCCTGCCGTTGCCAGGCGCGAAAGGTGCCCGTTGAACCACACGAGTTCCTCGTTCTTGGACCGTCGTCTTTGTACAGTTACGCTGCCGAGAGCAAAAACCTGCGTGGACTCACACTCCTCCACCTCAACCTTCCATATACTTTCCGACCTCCTCGGAGAGTGCGGAATAAGTCATCGAAGCGCATGGAAATTGTACGCCGTTCAAGAAACCCACGTCGATCATATCATAAGAAGTGGGGGAAGTCCGGAACATTGAGGGAGGGGGACATGCGAATTTCCCTTCGGGGGGACGCGAAGAGGATCGCGCTCTGCGAGTTGCGGTCTTGGCCAGAGCAGCTGGCCTCCTTATCGGGGGCGGCGCGCGAGTTCGATCGCGCGAAGGTGTAGAGATAGCCGCGCGTCTCGCATCGCCAGGCGCGACGCGCGAAGCCAAGCGACCTAGATGTTTCGGGTCGGAGCTGGATCCCCCTCCCCACAATTCTCCGCGACGGGGGAAGGGGGAAGTGAGGAGGAGAAGGCATGTACTCAGAAGGCGGCGGGACTATCGCCGGAGCCCTCGCGCCATCTTTGAGGTTGCTCTGTGTCTCCCGGTCAGGCTCAGGAGACTTCTCAGCAGCCTGGGGGACTTCCGGGCCTTGCGAATAGGCCCGCCCCCTCTGGCTTCCGCCCCCTTGGGCTCGCCGCCAAACCTCAGAGATGTTTTGGGGCGGAGCCGGACGTCTCTCCCCACACCTCCTCGGGGCGGCGCCAGGTGCCCCGCCAGAGGTGAGGACAGGATGGGGATTTTCCAGCGCCCGACGTGTCTGCTTGTGTGCAGTGGGTCCATTTCTTTGTTGGCCTCCCCCCCCCCCACCCCTCCCCCCGACGGGCAGCATGGATGACCAGGCGTCTGGGGACCAGGGGGACTCGTTGAAGCTGTTGCCTGTTTTTTTAATCAGCGGTCAAGAGCCGGTTCTGGGCTCCAGAGCCGTCTAGGCACACTCTTCGGGGCGAAACGCAAGCCGTGGGGAAGGATCGAGAGTTACAGGGTCCCACGTTTTCGGAAAAGATGACTCGCCAGAGTTCTGAGGATACAGCTGAGATTCCTTCTAGGCCTCCTAGATGGTGTCGGAGTAGATGGGGTCAGAGGATCGGGCCGCATCGCCGATACATCGCCGATGCGGCTCGATGTGAAGCCCGACTTGCTCCACGTCGACGTCGCCAATGCATCGCCCACGTCGACGATGCATCGCCGGTGCATCGCCGGTGCATCGCCGATGCATCGCCGATGTGTCGGCGGTGCGGCGCGATCCTCCGACCCCAGCTACTCCGACCCCATCTGGGAGGCCTCTATTCCTGTCCTCTTATCTGGCCCGCGACCAGCTTGCTTCCCATGGCTGCTCTGCAAGATACGAGCTGATCGCTCCAGAGCCAGGTCAAGCACCTAGGGCGTTCTGCAGCGCTCCGTAATGGCCGCGGCGCGCACTGCCCACTGCATTTGTTCCCTGATTATCTTTTTCCCGATCGGGGCGATTCACAGGGAATCCAATTAATTTTCTCGCGATGAATGATTACGCGGGGCGATTTCACCGAGGGGTGCCATGTTTAACGCAGGTTTGAGAAATTCCTGCATCAGTTCCTGAATTCAACTGGTTGAGGCATACTTTCTCTAACGTCGCACCGAAGATGGAACAACAATCGAAAGGCACATGCATGTTGTTGCGCCACAGCCGAATCCATGTTGTGTGTTGTGGCGCCCCAGGCCCCCCCGCCATAACATCTTAATTGAATGACCTCCTGCGTCGGGATTCCTTTGTGTCACACATGCCATTCCTCCACACGTGAAGAAGGGAAGTGTATTCAGATAGATTGGGGGCGTTTCGCTCGGGACACCCTTGGAATTTGCCTGTTTGGCCCCTGGTTGGCCTGGTTTGGCTAGGATTGGCTTGGTTTTGTAGAGCGCCCCGCCTGAGAAATCTAATGAGTTAGCCTCGTTAGGGCTATGGTTTGGCATGGTGTGGGGCTGATTTGTCTTGAATTGGGAGCGGTTTCAACTGAGACGTCTTGGTTTGGGAGCGGTTGGCAACATATTCTCTTGGTTTGCATGGTTTGTCTTTGCTTGAGAGCGGCTTCTCTTGGTATGCCCTTGCGATTTGCCCGAATTGTAAATCTTCGCCGCGCACTTTGCTACGATTTGCCAGGTTTGGCCTGGACGGGTATGGTTTGACCTAGTTTCGCCTCATACGTTCTGACGGTTTGTTTGGTGGGGCCTGATCTGGAGCAAGCTACGTTGTGTAAACTACGTGGTTCAAATTATGTGGCGCAAGTTTGTGCAGTGTAAGCTTTGTGGTGCAATAGTTACGGCACATTCCATGTGGTGCAAGTTCTGTGGTGTAGTGAATTGTAGTGCAGACCCCACTTGTTTTCGCCCTCGCTAATCTGCGATTGGCTACAAGCGGGCCTTGTCCCGTGGACCAACGTTCGGAGAACTGTATCTTGAGCCCGCGGGTGCTGCAAACCCACATTGGTTCGCCTCTACTGACATGCCGGCGGCTTCGAACCTGCATTGGCCCGTGGACTTGAGAGTCAGGAGAGCATCCTGCCGAGCCTGTAGAGTGCCCTAGGGAAACCTTCCCAATCGCGATCAACAACTCGGAAGTCGCAAGGATATCAATACATTGCCAAATGATTTCTGAAAGCGAAGAAAGGGTAATTTGGCGTCATGGGAGCGAAATGTATGTCACATCGATCGTGTGTTTCTTCCCGCCTGTATGCAGGACACCTTGACCTCCCACCGATACCCGTAACACCACACTTCGAAATTAAGCAACCCTAGCCTTCGCCAGAAAGTAAAGTAACAGGGGCCGCAAGGGAACCAATCAAGACGTTACACGGACGGAGCACCAAATGGTTCTAATCAAACTAGAGGGCCTTGTGGCAGCACACCCTAAACAGTTTGACACAGGGGCTTGGCAGTCCACCACCTGGCTCGTCGTACTGTAAGTACTACTACACTAATGTGTTAACACTATTGAACTATCATGGGCTACCGCTGCGACTGCTAACTCTATGTTTCAGTGAACGAACCAATGCGGATGTGTCTGATGGTTTCTTAGTATTGTTGTCATTCCTGTTGTTGCCGCCACTACTAAAACTACTACTGCTACCACCACGATTGCTACTACTACTACTGCTACGATTACTACTACTACTGCTACTACTGCTACTACTACTACTACTACTACTACTACTACTACTACGATTACTACTACTACTACTACTACTACTACTACTACCACGACTACTCGCATTACAATTACTATAATGTTTGTACTGCTGCTACTACTACTACTACTACTGCTGCTGCTGCTGCTGCTGCTACTGCAGCGACTACTGATTACTAGTATTGGTAGTAGTAGTAGTAGTAGTAGTAGTACTACTACTACTGCTACTACTTGTGCTACAGCTGCGACTGGTACTACTACTACTACTACTACGACTACTACTACTTCTACGACGACTACTACTACTACTACTATTATTACTACTACTACTACTATTACTACGACGATTACTGCTATTACATCTACGACTACTACGACTACTACGACTACTACCACGACTACTACTAGTATGCGTACTACTACTACTGCTACTACTACTACTACTACTACTACTACTACTACTACTACTACTACTACTACTACTTGTACCACTACTGCTACTATTACTGCTCCTCCTGCAGCTACTACTACGACTGATATTACGACTACTACGACTACGACGACTAGCATTTTTCATTTATTCTGGGAACTATCATTTATTTTCCTACTACTACTACTACTACTACTATTACTACTACGACGACTACTATTACGACCACTACAACGAGAACGTTTACGACTACCATGATTGCTAATCTTATTACGACCACTAATATGATTACATCTACAGCTACATTTACAATTGCAATTGCAAGTACAAACTACAACTACAACTACAATTACGTCTTCTGCCGAACGACAAATATTGATAAACTGCTGCTACACCTACCCCTACACAAGTTACTGGTACGTCTTACGTTCACGCCGACATTGATGTCAATAGCAGTGTTTATTCTCATGCTGATACGGTACAAGGGGGGGCAGGGAGACAACAGACGGCAATGGGAGACACTGGGAGGCAATGGGAGGCGTCTGTATACAACGGGACACACGAGGAGGCGTTTGGAGACACTGGGGGACACCGGGAGACAACAGGAGAGAGCGGTGGGCAATCGGAGAGACTGGGAGACAAGGCGAGACCACGGGAGGCATTGGGAGAAACCGGGAGGCAACGGGTGACAACTAGAGAATCTCGCCTTTTTGATTGCAGACCCGGCAGTCCATTTGCGCACTTTCGTAGGCGGAGTAGGCAGAACTTTTACAGACAAGCTGTCGAAGGATCGCATTCCGAATGTGAAAATTCAGATCATTCGTGAGAGAAGCAGTGAGATGTCACGGGAGGTAAGGGACTGGAGACGTCCGACCGATTCCAGATCCGGCGATCCCGTATTCGTTGGAGGGTGAATGTGGGGTCGGGCGCCTGGTTCCGGCAATGGTGTGTCTATGAGCCATGTATGGGCGATGCATCCTCGATTGTTGTGTTCGGCGGAGGAAGCATGTGAAGCTTCCTGCCTGCATCCATGCGCGAGATTAGAGTGTAAACGAAGCAAGGAGGCGGGGGGCTGAGGAAAGGCGACAAAGGCAACGTGCGCTGAGGGCGCAAGAAGAAAGGGTTGTAAGAAACGAAGGCAGTGAGGTGAGTTTCAAAGTCTGCCCCGCCAATCTGATATGCGAAACAGTGCGCCTCAGTTCCGGGGATCTTGAGGGCAAGGGCAAAATGTAAGTTCACATTGTGGAGACAAGCGGAACGTGAATCCACATGTTCGGAACATGAAAATATGAATGTACATTCTGGAAAACAGGAAAATATGAATTCACATTGTGGAGTTTTGTTTAGGCTCTTTATAAAGTGGCCAGAATGTGAATTTACCCGTTGGGGAAAATGAAAAGGTGAATTCACATGTTGGATAAAAAGGATAATGTGAGTTCACATGTTGTGAGACTCGCGGGGCCTTTTTCACATCTGTCTTGGGGGTCGACAAAGCATCGTTTGGGAACATACGCGATCATCAAGCGCGCAATCAAGACACACTTGCATTTGATTTCGCTGCCCCACGCGCGAT